TACAAGTCATAAGAATGTATCCAACATGTTTTATAAAAGTTCAAGAAGTTATTTAACATGTTTTGGATTGTTCAATGACTTATTTGTTCCAAAAATTATCCAAGGAGTTATTTAACATGTTTTGGAATGTCCAAGGACTTATTTGTTTCAAAAAAAAGTCCAAGGACTTAATCATTTCAAACAAGAAAGTCCATTGTTTTTTATTGTACTTTTCCCTTTTAAATAATATTTTAATTAAATTCATGATCTTTTTATCATTATATTTCAACTTTTATCGAATTTAATGTATTTATAAGATATACCGTTGACTTGTATCAAATCGAATAAAGTTCGAGTTCAGCTTAACATTGTCGAGTCAAACGTTGACCCGTAAGAAAACACTTTGGTTTGAAATCAAGTATGTTTTGAGCTAGTTTGACTTTTTGTCAAAACCCATATTCTGATCATGAGTCAAGTAAAATAGGGTACGTTCTGATCTATTTTTACATGTGATCTTGATGTTATTGATACGATATGATTCCTATTGAAATCATTTTCCTGCTACCTTCGTTTGTACGTTTCCCACCCTCACTCTACATAACGCAATCTCCTCCCCATCTCATTCTCTGATGTTTCTTGCTACAAAAGGTGGAACTATCGAACTCCACATTTGAAACTACTTCAGTTTTATTCGCATCTTATCAACGTACGTAAATTCATTTCTCCCGTCTCTTTTGTAACACTCCAAATCCCAACGCAACAGGTCGATCCAATAACTTTGGATTCGACTTAAAACCATAGTAAAAATTATTGGTAGCCCACAATTTGAGGCATATAAGAAGCTCTCATTTTCAATCTATGTGAGATGAGTTGTTACAAAATCCCCACTTACAAATGGGATTCGCCTAAGATGTTACAAACATTCCCCCACCGGATTCATCGTACCAGATGAGGTTTGCCCCCACCATCCCGATGGTACAAGGATGAGATTTGATATCATTTTGTAACACCCCAAATCTCATTTCTATCCATGTGTGACGAGTTGTTACATCCTTGCTATAGGTTTTGTGCTTCTCCATGTCATCGGCATGTGCATCAGGTTTTCGTTACAGAATGGTACTAGTAACACTGTGATTGGATGAGTATTAGATAGAGGCACAAGCATAATTTAGCTATTCGAGAACATCTTTCATATGTTTGGAAATAGCAACTTTTGATGGGTTTTAGTAACACTCGTTCCTAATTATAGACTTGTGTGAGGTTTGGATATTGTATATTGATGTTAAACCTTAGATTGTCATTCTAAGTGATCAAATATTAACTCTTAGAAAAAGACTTGATCCTTATTTGATGTTTTATCAAAAATTAAAATTAGTCGTTTTTTTACCAAATTTTGAGGGTGTACATGATTAAATGAAAATCGACTTAAAAGTTGATCTGGACGTGAATACGAGTTTCATGCAGGTAAAGTCACATGAAAGTCACTCTTATCCCCAAAAGCCTGCACACAGACCCAAAAGCAGGTTTCATGCAGACATAACACCCACTCCATAATATTTTCCAACAATGTAATTTGATGAAAATGGTATGTTTATTTAAGGTTATAAAAGCACGCAGAATACCAAGGCTTAGAACAATGTCTTCAAAACTCATTTAAGTCAAAATCAAACCAATAAACTCCACAACTTGTTTGACTACTCAAATAAATAAACCAAATATGAAAATTATAAATAATTTGGTCTGTTTGATTTGTAGGATTTAAAATGGAATTAGATTATATTATTTATAAATAATTTGTAAAAAAAGTTATAAGAATAATTAAATTACATTTTTATTAATCGATTATTAGAAAACAAGTGTTTTTTAATATTTTTTAAAACTCTATTTCATACAATCCTACAAAATCTCGTGAAATCCCAAGCACTTCCTAAGATTTTAAATTCGGACAATCCAACAAACCGAACATGAGATTGGAATGGATTTGAAATCCAAATTCATTCAATTTATGCAAACCAAACAGGACCTAAGTTTTTTATTAATGTTGTGAAATCTTGTGGGTTCTTAGTATTCTTTTTGATTTAAAGATTAAAGATTTACTTCCTGTTAATCTATATTGTGACGATAAATCAACTATTCAAATTGCTAATAATTCTTTGTTTCTGTGAACACACAAAACACATAGAAATTACTTTATTGTTTGAAAAGGGCAAATTGCATGAAAAAAGTAATGTACTTTAACTTGATTCATATTTTGGGTAACATATTTTCAAAACTTTCATTTTGGTATCTAAGATGTAAAGTTTTAAAATTTTAAGTACCTATGTAACCGGTTGAAGCATTAACCGGTTACCATGCTGATGTGGCGAGCGATGAGATGAAATTGGGTTGAATAACAAATACTACTGAGTTGGATACCACATCACTCGTCACATTAGCATGGTAACCGGTTAATGCTTCAACCGGTTACCCGGATATTTAAATGTTTAAAACTTTACATCTTATATACCAAAATAAAAGTTCTAAAAATACATTATCCAAAATAGAAATCAAGTTAAAAATTTAAATGCCAAGATTAAAGTGGGAAGTTGAGTTGATTTGGTCATTGCTATCTTCATTTATTTATTAAATTAATTTATTGTAACATGTCATAATTATTGAAGGATTGATTCTAGTGCTATGGAGAATATGGAGGACTACACTTCACTTACTTTCTGTGTTGGTTTGTAAGAATGAAATGGATTTGAGAAAATTTGGATTTTAAATCCATTTTAATTTTATGTTCTGTTTGTTAGATTATTCGGATTTAAAATCCTTAAGGGTGCTCAGGATTTTAGGAAATTTTGTAGGATTGTATGAATAAGGTTTTAAAAAAAGCTAAAAACATTTGTTTTGTAAATTATTTATAAATAATATAATCCAATTTCATTCAAAATCCTACAAACCAAACACACCAATGATCTCAAATCAATTCCAATCGAAATTTCTTCAAATATAAATCCCTTCATAAAATTTAAATCCCTAAAAAACAATTCTGCAAACCAAACGAGTATTCTTCTTCATTATGCATCCTTTCAATTTTTGTAACCTTTGGTTTTATGAGTTTTTTAGTTTTCAAATAATCTAAAATAAATAAAATGAAAACTTTATTCTTTATTTTATTTCAATAGATTTTTATGTTATTTTTTAAAATAAAGAAAACTTTTAAATTAGAGGATTTTCTAAAATTTAATATTGAGAAGAGAAATTATTTTTTAGTTCTTTTCTATCAAATTAAATATATTATTATTTTATATATTTTAAAAATATAATAGAATGATAAATTTATAAAATAATTTAATAATATAATTAATGTTGAAAATTTTAGGGATAAAATAAACAATATGTTGTAGCAAAATGTAGGGGCTGTTTGTTTGCCTCTTAATAGTGACATTAAGAGGGAGCCTCTTAATCGGTAAGAGGCAGGGGCTGTTTGGCAAAAAAAAATGAACCTCTTAATGGTGACAATTACCTCTTAATGATTTTGCATCTAATGGGTTGCCTAATGGTTCAAAGGCATATTTTTCCAGGATTACCCTTCCCCTCCTCCTCCCACGCATCGTTCCAGCATCATCGTTCCCCCTCCTCTCCTCTCCTTCCAGCATCATCGTTCCCCCTCCTCCTCCCACGCATCGTTCTTCCTCCCAAACGATCTCACCAATCTCTCCATCTCACAGACCTGCCTCCTTTTTCATTCCCTCTCTCCGACAATGGCATCGGCGCCTAGGCCCGCCTCTGCTTCTCCGACGGCGACACTCAGGTCATCGATGCTTCTTCCCTTATCTCTCTCTTAACTCTGAAACCCCTTCATCTCCTTCTCTCACTCCGTATAATCCCCATCAACCATAACATCTCCTTCCCGACGGCGACAATCCTTAGATCCCATCAACGAAATCGGTAGCGTCTCATCCAGGAAAAACATAACCCAAATCCAAAAGTGAGTGAAACCCTAAATCAAAACTACAAAAAGTCTCTTCTATATTGAAATCAAAATCAAATCATAGAACCCAAAAATAAAATCGAGGGTTAAGAACTGTGACTATGCCGAACTGATCCTAGTGATAAGAAAAGCACACCCAGATATGATTTTATGTTCATGTGCAGTTCCATTATCATGAAGAAGCAGTTAATGGTAACTATTTAGTAGCCAAATTTGGGCAACAACGAGTTGGTTGGGGAAAATTCTGAAATTTGTTAAGGGTTAAAATGGTAATTTGTTGTCATTCAGAGAACAATTACCAAACAACCTTGTTTCATTCTGCACTTAACCATTCTGACCTTTTAACTATTCTGCACTAAATCATTCAGTAACTGTCAAACAACACCGTAATTGTGATTAGAGATTTTAACTTTTAATTCTACATTTTAGATGAATTATAAAAAATTTGTTGAAAAATCTTTTGTAGAGAATGAGGCTTTTATATGCATCAATTTTTTTTTAAGCATTCCATCATTTTCATTATTTTTTATATAATAAATAGCTCTAACTTCAGCCGAAACAATCTTACCAAGAGTGTTTAGAGAAGATTCTCTAGAATGTAGAACTTTTTTTCATGTCTAAGGACGATCCTTAAAAAACAAAATAATTATAAGAAGTTTGTCATTGCCAAATTGACTAAAAGTGAAGATAAAGATAGTAAAACGGAAAATGAAGTTGGATTAAAAAGTCAACTCACCTACAAACTTAAAAGTATTTTCATCGTTCTCATCATAACTGTTATTCTCAAACAATCTCATGCCTACACACACATTCCTACCCATTCCTGATGAAGCCCTAAAATGCCATATAGTGCATAGATACAGAAAACCTAAAGACGGAAATGTCCCATTTAAAAAAATATGCAAGATATCAATTGTTGGATCAAAAGCAATCAAAGGTCGCAAAGCAGTTCTCACAAGAACCCAACCCCATACATACATACATACATATACATACATACATACATATATATATACATACATATATATATATATACATACATATATATATATATATATGTATATAGAGTATCGTAACAAGAACCCGTAACAAGATAAAAAGTAAAAACTTCACAAAAGTTGAAGAAAATCTAAGAATTCATATAAAAAACATATTTTTTAGACCCTATGATGCAGGCTTCGCCTTGCATAGTTGCTATACATGTTAACGAGGCCTCGCCTTGCATAGTTGCTATATATGTTAACGTGGCATTGGACACAACTCTTACCCAGCTTTTTGGGTATAAGCTTATAAACACCAACCGTCCATCCACAAGCATACTAAGGGGTCGTTTACTGAACACTTACTTGGTAATTGTTTAACGCATAAATTTCCTCATCGGATGAACATGAGAAGGGCCAAGAATCCTACCGGGTAAGTGCAATAAGAAGAATGAAGAGTCTTATCCGGTAAGTGAAGATGACGACTCTTACCCAGGTAAGCGCTTACCTAGTAAATTGTTGCATTCGATATGTTTTGATGTACTAAAATCTTACGCATCAAAATAAATTATAGTATTGACTCATAGTGGTAAGGTAAGCGCTTACCGAGTAAACATTTGGGGTCCTAAAAGAGAAGAACAAACATGTTGAGAGTTGCAAAAGCACCTGTGTGATCAACCAATCCATTAACAAAATTGTTACAAATAAACAAATATATTCATTAGAATCATAAAAAACTTCCCACAATCCAAGCTCAAGTCTCTCTTGGGGTGGAAAGCAAAAGGAATTACAATATATAACCATCTTCCTCTCCACCACATTTCCACATGCAACCAAACTCTCTTATATATATAATACTACTAATTACCAATTACCAATTACCAACACAGAAACAAGTAATAAAAACCAAAACTCATTGGGTGTTCAAAGCCATAAATAAGTTCTGCTTTCTTGCATGCTCTGGTATTAGCCTTTGCACAGTCTCACCAGGGATGCCTGCAAGCTCTGTAACAATAACATTATAGCTTCCTTTATTTCCTTACTGCATCATTTACTTTCGTGCCATCGAGTTAACGGAATAAAACGCAGCCATGAAAGTGGATGGATGAATCTTGCTTACCTTGAGGTTTAAAATTGAAGAGTGGCGGGAGTGGGCGACCGTTAGGAAGACGGGTGCTTGGATCCCTCAATTCATCAAAGAAAGGATGAACACAAGCTTCCAACTGCAATTACAATTACTACTTCACTCATTTCATCTCATTGTTTCAATAAACACATGCCAACCCTATGTTATAACACTTACAGCAGTGCATCGCAAATTGGGCGAATACTGGAAAAACCTACAAACCAAGTCTACCGCTTCTGGAGGTAAACGCTTCTGGAACACCTGAAGAAAAAAACAAGCTCACAATTACCAAGAAATGCATAATTTCGAGCTAATAACGGTTGAATGATGAGAAAATGAACTTGCAGCAAACCATGGCCAGTAATGCATATAAATTTATGTACCAAACATCAAACAAGAATAAGATTAGAGACTGTTCCATATACCAAGTGGTGTTGTTTAATCTTAGAATATTTATTGGTATATACATGAAGGGCGTACCTTGTGCCATGGATGAGGCTTTATTTGTGGAAATCTAAATTCAGTATAGTTCGGATTCATGCATTTTATCTCCTCTCGAGTAGGTGTTCCCAGAACCTGTATAACATTAGATTACAAATCATTTCTTTTTAGCAAGAAAGAAGTTCAAACAGAGGGCCAAGTTTTAAAGAAGTTGACAATTGAGTTAACTTACCTTGATGATCTCAACTAGCTGATCAACACCACTTTCTCCGGGAAACAATGGCTACATATGAAATCAACTAAGAGAATGATCAAAACAGACTGGCTACTTCAATTGACAGAAAGGGTGCCTTTGGTACATGCAAGAGTCAGGTTGACGGGTGAAAGAAATATGGAAAGTTTTAGGGTTTAATTAACATGATAGTTTAGTAATTTACCAATCTTGTCCCATCTCCCTTATTTTTGTTCCACATATTTTAAGTTCCATCGTGTGGGACAACGAGTTTTTGTTGTGTCCTATTCCATTCTGTGCTGCATACCAAACGCACCCTTAAGAAACTGTAGAGCTAAAATACCTGTCCAAGTAGTAGTTCGGCCATCACACAACCTGTTGACCAAATATCTATAGCTGCTGTATATTCTGTTGCACCAAATATGAGCTCTGGGGCACGATAATATCTTGAACAGATGTAGGAAATATTGGGCTCTCCTTTCACCTGTACAAGAAAATGGAGTATAAACCAGAGATAAAAATAACAAATTGGAACTACATGAACATGTCGAATAACTTACCAGAACTTTAGCACTTCCAAAGTCGCAAAGTTTCAGCTGGTGTGTGTGTGGGTTCACCTGAAAGTAGCAACTTAGTGGCTCAGTCCTTCCAAATACGACTTTAAACTCATCTTAGAGAACTCATCTTAATACGTCCTACTTCTATCTTCGTGAGTCAAACAGACTACTTTTCACTTAAAAATGTGATATTAGTTCGTTTACCGAATAAAACTGCAGAACAAATAGCAAGTCCGAGAACCGGAACACTGGAACAACCTCTTTGCAAAATCGAAACAAAGCATTCTCTCATATCACTGTTTTTTGTAGCCTTTAATATCTAGAATTCTCTCAAGGATGGGTTATCCCAACTAAACTGATATAGATGCTAAGGATCACAAAACTTTGAGGCAAAACGTAAGTCCATGACAATTGGCACGAGAGTCGCTTTTCCAATATATTCTCGAATGTTAACAAGAAACCTGCTACCTACTCGCCACGAGAAGCCCAAGAATCTTTTCTCTTCCATGGAGACTTGTCTTATATGACATGAAAAGTCTATACATGTATTCTTGACCGGGGAGCAAGAATTAAAGGGAGTTCAATTGCAACAAACATGCAAGGACAAAAAGTCAAGCTAACTATCAAGAAGACCAACGCTAAAACACTATGACGTCAGGATCATGCCACTTTCCAAAGCAAGGTGATTGAAGACTTGGCGAACATTAAAGCGCATAATGTTGAGATGAAGGCTGACCTTAAGATAAGCAAGTGGCATCCCGTGACCCATAAAAAGAAGCTAAAAACTACAAGGATGGTCTGACATGCCCCCAACCAACATAGTACGATGGCTTGTGAAATATCAAAGATATTAACAACTTTTTTTTAGCACAGAGTGCTACTTCAAGATAGCCAACTTGAAAGATAAAGTCGAAGGTACATGGTGCAACCCTATAATAGGGAGTCACATTAAGGAGTTGAAGTATGAGCATTCCATTCAATACCATTTCAAGAAGTTCTCAGATCTCATGGTTCAAATTCCAACGATGGGCAACGAATACTTGTGCTTCTTTTTCGTGGATAGATTTAAGCCAAGGACCACCTAATAGTTGCAAAGGCCGACGCCCTCATGATTAGGAAGACCTTGGTGAATTTCCTAGCAAAAAACATGAATCTCCATAGTCAAATCCGAATCATAATAGGGAGTTACTCAAGTCTGGCCGAGAAACATGAGAAACCACTGATATGCTTTTTGGGCATTCCGCACATGACAATTCTTAAGACAAATGCCTTCAATGCAATGGTCAAAAAGTTGAGGCAAGAGTCCACCAAGACAACCATCATTTTATAACTGTAACCTTCATAATGCTAGTATTGGTTCAAAGACTTCTGACACAAGCATAGATTCCAAGAAATGGTTGCCCGGTTCCACAAGCAAGAAAAGCAACAAGAAGAATGGCTCATATCAGCACAGTGCAGCAACTTGGTACCATGACCTTGTCATAAGAAATCCAAAACCAGAAGGCATACAAAATACAACCCAAAGAGATGGGACAGTGTAAACAAGGCGTTGACGCTCCCCGTGAAGGTTAAAATTAAGCCATCATGGATTAGGTAGAACCGTATAAGATAACGAGCTCTTCGAGTTCAGATACATTACATAGGCATCATGCAGTGCACACACTCTATCACAAGGGCTTGCCTACAAGCAGTTTCAAACAAAGAACCAGAATATCCTGAAAGTCCAGCAATGCTCTAGAGCAGTTCTCCATACTGTTCTAACTTCTAAGATAGTGCTATATCTTGTTAGAATCTCTTGAATCTTGATACATGTAAGTCTTAAACCTCTGTAGAAGAATCTTTAAGGTCCATGGATCTAGATAGTTCCTTACTAAGCATTCTCTCATTTCTCATATTGTTCACACCATGTCGGATCAAACAATTCCTTAAGGTTGGCTTGGCTATAAACTAAATGGTATTGACGCCAACACTGCATAGAGCTTTTGAAGAAAAAGAAAGAAAGTCTATAACACTCGGTACCAAAGTTGGACTTTGATAATGTCGAATGTTAGCAGAGAAGTTGCCCCCTGATTGATGTGAAATAGGACTCATCTTACATGGAACAAGTTGGTTATGGTGGATGTCAAGGAGGGCCTTGACAGGCTTGAGCAAGATGCTGAAAGGGTTGACGAAACAATTACCACAAAGGTGCAAAGATAGGATCTCAAGATGACAGAAATCGTACGCGACACTAGCACTCTTTGACACCAATAGGAAGTCACATTCAAAACCAATATGTTTGAAAGCTTGGTATACCTTAAAGCTCAAGTTGATCGGGTAGTCGATTAAGTGGTAGCAAAGGCATAGACTGGGATCAATTAAGCAGTACCAGATTAAAACCTGTCAAGGCCCAGTCTATGCCTTTGCTACCAAATTAAGCAGTACCACATTCTTTGTCCCTGTGGTTTAACACTTTGGATCCCTATTTTGAAATATCTATGGATTGCATCGTTGTGGTTTGGACTATAACACTTCGGGTCCCTAAAACTAACTCCGTTAGATTTTTTTCTGTTAAATAGGTTAATTAAGAGGGCAATTCAATCATTTTAAGTATAGGGACCAAACATGTTATAAAATGCAAACCACAAAGATGTAATCCATAGATATTTCAAAATAGGGACCCAGAGTGTTAAAACACATGACCGAGAATGTAATTTACTCAACACCTAGGTCTCCGTTTAATGCTTTTTAGAATTCTATATGTTCGCCTTGTTGATGCTCTTATCTAAACCTTCATTAAAGTCCTCTTCCATGGAATGACAGATTTTGTGTATTGCTATATATCCTACGCAAACAACAATATTGTTCTAAATAGCTAAATTTGGTGTTTAACCAATCCCAGTAGAGCTGTATGCATGTAATGATATAAGATGAGCAAATTATATTGAGATTTATGTATTGCTTGAATGCCAAATCACCATAGATTGTAAGAACTGGGGAGATAAAAGTACACAAATTGCAAATGAATTAGTCCAGAAGAAAAAGCACGACAAAAAGCAGAATATTTTGTAAGTGCACATGAAATAAGCAAAATCAAGGAGTGTCGTATGGACAAATAATCAAACTAAATTTTAAATTTAGGAAAGAATCTTACTAGCAAATTCTGGGGCTTGATGTCACGGTGACAAATGCCAATGCAGTTATGAATATAAGCCAGTGCTCTGCATATCTGCATACAAGAGAGTAAGACATAGCTATACATACAAATACAACTAATATCAAGAAATAAGCACTCTAAAATCATAAAATGACAAGTCTCTTAAAACAAAATTATCATGCTGTTAACAAAAAAGTATTCAAAGCATATTCTAGGAATTAACACACATTGAAGTAGAGCAAGTGAAAACTTAAATGCTTGAATCATGAAATCCTTGATTATTGCAATGGCGAGCTCGTTAATCTCGAGCTTGAGCTTAATAATTCTCAAGCTCGAACTGGAACACAAAAATAAAAACTCATTTAACTTAACGAGTCCAAATTCAAAATAAAACTCATTTAACTTAACGAGTAGAAATTCATAACACCAATGTCTGACTCGGCTCGCTTGAAAACTTGAATAAAATTTTCGGGTCAAGCTGAACCGAGCCGTCGAGCATACAACTTTTTGAGCAAAACATGATTATATGTTCATAAATCATAAAACAAAAATATATAAATTATCAACCTCGAGCCAATAAACGAGTTAATTGATCACAAGTTTGAGCCCATAAAAGAGCATCAAGCTCGAGCTCAATAACTCAAAAGGTATTCAAGCACAAGCTTAAGCCCTACACCAAAAAAGTTATTCGAGTTCGAGCCTAGTACTTTTTATTCGAGCCGAGCTCGAATGACCTACTACTCGGCTCGTTTACACCCTTACTCAAGGCGCAAAGGGGTCATGCAGCCTAGGTGTGAGGGGCAGGCCTCAGGAATGTGAGGTGCATCTTATCAATACACACACAAACACACAACTCGAATATGCAACAAGTGCAAGCCTCCAATGCAGAAGCCAGAAGGGCTTTAAGCGTGAGCCGTGAGGGGGAAGTTTTAAGGTCTAGGTATTTATAGAGATGGAGGCTTGAGGTTCTAAGAATTGGGTATTTAATATTAGGGGTTAACTTATGACATCCATTTAATAACTTTTTCTTATGAAGTCTAGAAGATGAGTAAACTTATTTAAGTTTAGGGGCTGACTAGTTATTTATTAACTCTTTATGAGGTGCGCCTAGGCCTACAAGGCGCCTCAACAGTGAGCCTCTTGAATACGCCTAGCCTCATGAAAGAAAAAATGGCTCCATACTCATAAGAACATCATGGATTAAATTTAAATCTCATTTAAGGTTGTATACCGCCAAGAAACAGCAGAAAGAACACTCCAGTTTCAGACTAGAGTATCGTGTTCGCTTTTTCTTCCAATCAAAGTGATATACTTTCATTTCAACAAGCATGTTGGTTGTTTAGACATGAAATGTCAAATATAATGATCTGAAATGCTAATCCTTGATTCATCAAGCAAATCTTCTATCATATTCACTTCCTGCTATTCATGTGTTCACAGAAGATTATGAATCCAACAACAGTTTTGAGTACGAAGAGTATACAGAACAGCACCAACTACGGTATTGCTAAGCTAATTCAGGGAGGTATAATATTTGCATGGGTCTTGACAGTGAGCAAAAGCTGGTTCATGATGTATGTACGTGCAACAAGTGAATTACCAATTGCAATAAACAAGAAAAGAGCGATAATTAATAAACTCAAAGCTGAAAAGTTAAGTAGCACATGCCTGATAGGTATACAGCTTGACATATATCAAGGGCATTCGTTGGTTCATCCTAGTGTAATGTCGAGCACTACGGCTAACCGTTTCAGGAACAAAATCAAGAACAAGATTGAGGTATAGCTCATCTTTATCAGTGGTTGAAAAGAAAGAATGTTTCAGGGCCACAACGTTAGGGTGGTCCAGCATTTGCATAATTTGTAGCTCCCTGTTCTTATAACGCTTGTCTTGAAGAACTTTCTTGATGGCAACAATCTCTCCCGTCTCTCTGCATTTAGCCTGCACCAAGAATGCAAAAAAGAAAAATCACATAAAGAATCTAAACCAGATAACTTAACCAAGTAAAAACTATATAATCTACCAGTGAGCTTTACTTACTTGGAAAACAACACCAAAAGAACCAGTTCCAATCACATGCTCGGCTATATAACTGACAGTCTGCCATAAACCAATTTACAAATATATGAAAATTTTACCTAATATAAAATGAAGGACGTTTTATGCAATCAATCCATAGCCATGAAAAAGACTATTTCTTAGAATTTCGTTACTGCCAACCTGTTTAGACTGACCATTACGACCACCAACCGTTGTTCTTATCACATGCCCTGCTTCAGCGCCCACACCATGTACTATCTCTGGTTCACTATCCTGAAATAATAAATAAAATTTTCCCATTGAGGTAGAAATTCTTAGTCTCAAACAAACGTAGGCAAATCTATGTGCCTAAAACATTTCAATGCAACAAAAAACCTCAATCTAGCAGAAATAGAACATCAATGACAACAAAAACAACAAGAATTCTATGATAGCTACAAGAATGTTTATATTAAGAAAAAGAACTTACGCTCACTCTTTCATCATCATGGTCCACTTTGTCCCTAAGTCGCATCTCAAGCATCTCCCTCCCCAGCCAGTCAACTGAACTAGATGATTCATTAAAGCCACCAACAGTCCTGGAGCTGCCAACTCCCCCATGTCCTAGACTGGCAGAAGCCATCTTATGCCGGATGAGTATTAGAGGTGTTAACGACTGCTACACTCCACATACACTTGTGGAAACTTCCAGATACTTTATACCTGTCTCCTTAATAAATGAAAAAATCATATTCAAAAGAACATAAACATCTCATAACATCTAATATCTCCTCTTGCATAATAGCATGATTAGGTTCAGATTAATCAACCTCTTCATGCATCAAGCAGAAAAAAGTACGCAAAATCTCCATGGGTAATCGATTAGATGCATAAATATTTTTATGTGCATATCTTAGTGAATTATGCACATGGAACTGAACTTCCTGTCAGTAGCACATATCTATCCAGCATAGAAGAAGTCAACATCAAGGTAAAACAATCGGTCGTAAGCAAGTGCTACAAACCAATCATATGCCTTCAGTTACTTGAAGATATTAGAGACTCCATACTTGTAGAGAAGCATATGGGCTCAAACACATTGAAATGCCTGGAAGCTAAACGCCATTTTTCAGAACCCACAGAATTTGGTACAAAAAATCACCAAGAATTAGGTACAGAATGGGTGGTTCTCATCAAATTTTTACCAACCCATTATTCTTTCTTCCTGAAAAAAGCTAAAGTGATTTGTTTTGGTTACGTGACCAAAGAGTAACCAAATTTTAAGAATTTGTTAGGTGTTCCGCGTGTATATTACACTACATTCTTCCCAAATAATATTCAGACTTCCAAGCATTTGTTCAATCTCGAAAAAGCCACATTCCATAATAGAAAAGGTGTAACACACATGAACCAGGTTCAAAATGACTGTATGTTCTACAATTGGAGTCCACTACCTATAGAAATCAAAAACAAGAGTCCCATCTGGTGTGAAATGGATCAAATACAATATGCTAAAATAAAAGCAAGATGCCACAACAACATATATTAATTTCTATGCTAGTAAAAGAAAATTAAATATGGCAATTTGAAGATGCTTCAGTCTAGCAGATAATCATAAATCAAAAGTTCGTCAGAATGTCTTGATGCCAGATAAACCACAAAATCATCATAATTCACCATCAGTCAGATCTAAGTCAAAATGACTACAAATAAATCTACGCAAAATCATGAAACCCCAAATTAAATTACCAAGAACAACTTCAGACACATAATCAATACCCGATCAAGAATGACTTCAAACACCCGTGAGTTAATTAACAAAAAACAACACAGAAAACATTGTTCACCTTGACGAATTTAGCAAAATTTTCCGACCAGAATCTGTGCATTTCACAATCAATCAATTAACAGACGATCGAGGGGTGAACAGTTTCTTGATCTGACTGCTTTTTACTCGTTTTGGGGCCAATTTATGTCGAGTATTTTGCAGTTATCTAACTGGGGTTTTCTCTCTCCATCTCCATGTCCATCTCCATCTGGGTATGAGGGGAAAAAAAGAGAGAGAGGTTTTTGGCTTTTTGATCTTTTGGGATACCACACACTATTCACTGGCAAGTGAGGAGAGAGATAAAGATGGAGGCTTTTGGGTTTCTGACAAGTTGGTAACTGAAGTTTGTTCCCATTTCACCATTCACCACCTTCCCTTTTTTCTGATTTTGGTTTGATTTAATGTCAAAGTACTTGCACACCCAATCTTTATGCTTTGAAATCTTCAAATTAATTGAGATGTTTCTGGGACCAGATGTATTATTTCTTGATCTTGATCTCTCTTCTGATTGTGAATTACGTTTTATGTTATATACATTTAATTTAATAGTAATTACAATGGACGGTTTTTTAATTTTTGTATAACACCAAGGGTGGTGTCTGAATGATTTGAGCTCGACTCTAAAGGTCAAAAGTATCTGGGGGCCTCAGATTTAAATCCAGTGAGGAATAATAATCTCTTTATGGTCACGAAGTTTCAAATGCAATGACTCCGGACTATCTGTAAAACAGATGGTCACCCTGAATTAGTCGGCTCGCATAACGGATTGAATATTCAGGTTAATAAAAAAAATCGACACAACGAGTCATCCAATTCCTAAGACCCATCTATGCCACATGCCATGGATCAATTTATATGAATGAATGATTCTATTTTTACATTAAAATGCTATCTTTTTTTTATATTTATCTGATTGATGTGTGTTTCTGGTTATGGCTGTGACCTTCGAACTATTAGGACACTATATAAAGATCATTGTACAACGTTGAACCAAACAGTTTATTCTTGAATGGAAATTTGGATTTTTGAAAGAAATGAGTATTAATTACATTATATAAAACAAAATAGTCTTTTTTATTTTCAGTTTTATTATTTAATTTTTAATATTTCTAACCAATCATCTTAGATTCTATTTGGGTTTGTTTTTCAAAAAACAGTAGCATTAGTCCTTACAATTATTTTATTATAATTAAATTACTGACAATAATTTATAAAAATATTAAGAAGCAATTTTATTTATTTACATAAATCAAATGTATAAGTTTCCAAACAAGTAAATAAAAAAAAATATGAAATCTATTCATAAACCTTAAATATATTATAAAATATTTATCTTTTATCTTATTAAAATTTAGATTTATAACTTATCAAAATATATATAGAGAGAGAGTTTGTTTTATACAACCAATGCAACCCAATAAATTGAGATATTTATGAAAATGATGACAGTTCATTTATTATGATTTGAATATTTATGGAAGATGAATATGGTTCATTAATTATGGTCAATACTTTATATTAAAAAACAATCAAAACTTATATGAAATCACATATTAATCAAATGAAATGGACGGTTGAGATTGAGTTGTATTGGTTGCAAAAATGTCAAGGGTTGTATAATAATCAACCTCTCTATCTCTCTCTCTCTCTCTCTCTCTCTCTATATATATATATATATAATTTTAAATTTCATATTTTAAGTTGATGAAACTAAGAGGTTGTTTGGTTGGTTTTTTATTAAAATTCATATGGGTTAAGATGTCTCTTTGGATTTAGTTGTCTGTATGATTTATGTTAAATTGTTGTTTGAATAACCAGTCTAAATGACAAAAATGATTATTTTACCTCTTATTTTTTTATTAAACACCGATTAAAAACAATTCATATAAACAATGAAGAATATCAACAACATGAATCTTTCATCTTCATCCTAATCTCGAAACACAGGAATGTACTGCACCTCCTGAATTCAATTTTCTAAATCCAATTCATCTTCTCGATTTGTTCTTAGCCCCTCATTAGCTTCTCGACATCCTCAAGAAATGAAAAAACCCATTAAACCAAAGAATTTCAAGAAGGTAAGATGGTAACCAATAAATTTCAAATCAGTAATTTCATATTAGATCACAAATCTCGGTTCATCTTCTTGATCTATAAAAAACCCATGAACCAATTAAACTTAGTTCATCTTCTTGATTCTGCCACATTTTAGGTTAAACATAAAACATAGGGAACCCAGATTTACCAAAAACATATACTTATGGGATTAATCCGAGCTTTAAGTTTAAAAAAACAAAGAACAGATGAGCGACAAGGACACAGCCGGAAGTGACGCTTAACGTTGGGGAGGGGAATGCAAGTTTTGATGCAAGAAGACAACGGATAAGGGAGTGTTGGTCTCAATGATCGAAGATGATTGGTTGACGAGATGATCAGTGAGGTCTACAAATGGTGATATAGAGATGACCAGCGAGGAGTAGGAAGGCTTGGGGATGACAGGGATGACTCGAAGGTTTGAAGCACTAGTATAACGTTTAACAAGGGCATATTTGGAAAAATTATAGTTGAATACAAATGACACATCGATCTACTTTGGTTGACCTATTAAGTCATCAACTGATGGAATAAACCACAACCGAACAACTATTTAGCTGAGTAAATAAGTCATATAAGCTATACAATCCATTAAGCTACAATCAAACAACCTCTAACTTGCATACATTTAAAATTTAAAATAAATATAAATCTTTCTAATATAATAAAGTATTCCATAAATCTCAATACCAATTTAAAATTTATAACTATTGCTCATATGATTTATAAATGAGTTTCGTTTAATCAAAGAGTACAATTTTTTATATCTTTCAATATATATATATATATATATTATTGTAAATATATTTAAATGCAACCCTCTCTAGATTATACAATCGATGTAATTTATTTATTCATATTTTATTTTATTTTTTTAATTAAAAATAGTTAGAACCGATCAAATAATAATTCAATTATAAAAATGATAGAAAGGTAAAAGAATTTTGAAAATTTATGGGTTTATTTGAAATGAAAAGTGGAAGTGGGACATGTGTATGCATACGAAAACGACACGTGGTGGATGGTCCATGAAACAAGGATCATGCTTTGACCCCGTTTACTGACAACTGTCATTGTCACTTGCACCCTTCAACATCTCCTTTTGAAAACGAATAAAAAAAGTAATGGAATATCCAATTTTTATATATTAAAAACATAAAAGTCAATAAATAAAATATATATGAGATGTATTTAGTTCGCCCCCAATAAAAAAGGAGTTTCTCATTTATTTTTGAACTACCGTGGGAACCGCACTGTAGAGAGGCCAAATCGGTCCGGTCCGGCTCGAGACCGTCGAAGGATCGGGACAGGGACCGGTTGAGGTTTTTGGTAGTTTCGTGGGACCGGGACTGACTATGGACCGGCCCGGCATGGCCCGAAAATTCAAATAATTGTATAAATAAATGTATTTTTAAATAATTTTATAATGTATTTTTATACGAAAACGTAATTTTAATTATATTAAAACGCATTTTTAAAGTGTATTTGAGTGATCCAATTATAAATTTCATAATGTATTAAAAATATATATCATTAAAAAATCTTATTTTTTAATGCAAGGACCGGTTGAAATCGGGACCGACGGCCCATAACCGGTTATGAAGTACCTTGACCGGTCCTATCATTTTCGACCGGGGCCGGTTATGAGAAATGTTAGAACCGATTGGAACCGGCCCAGCCCGGGACCGGTTTTTAGTCATCTCTACTGCACGGTATATGATTTTATGAGTATTTTGGTTAATGATCTGAAGATTCTCAATATAAATATATGATAGTTGTTTATATAATCATTAATAAATAATATTCAAATTATTCAAAAAAGTTAATAAAATCTAACTAATGGAATTTTAATATATATATATATATAGAGAGAGAGAGAGAGAGAGAAAGATTTGTTTAGAATAATGTTGTAAAATTAAATAAAATGATTAACAATAACGACAGATGTATGGATAATTTATCAATTGTTTGTCTGATTGATGATATAGTTTTTTTTTTTTTTTTTAAAGAGAATGATACCTATGCCAATTTTTATTAAGAAATAAATAAGTGTACGTCTAAAATTGTACGGTAACTAATTATACGTACAAAAAATATGGTAAATAGAAACTTAGTCTATAAATAATATAAAAAGATATTAACCGATCATTAATATATATAAATTACTATAGAGAACAATTCATTGTTATAAATGAATTGTCTACAATTAACAAAAACGTATACTATCTCCGTTCCAAAATGAGTGTCCCCGTTTGTATTTTAGTTTGTTCCAAAATAAGTGTTTACTTTCAAAATTAATGTCTACTTTCTAAATCTACTCTTAATTACAAGATAGAAAATTCATTAGTCTCTCAATTATAAGATACATAATTCAAAAAAGTAATGTCTACTTTCCGAACAAATACTCTTTCTGTCCCAAAAATCGTCTCACGAAAACAAACAACCTGTCTCMCCCCCCCCCCCACATACTAGAAGAGTACTCGCGCAATGCAGCGCGATACATCTCAATTTTGATGTTTCATTTTATTTGTCAACGTCAATGTTATAATACGATTTTATGTGGTAATGAAAAAACGATAATGTTTTTATTGTTTGAATAAAATATAAATTTGAAGGTATCATAAAATTTTGAAAAAAATGTATCAACTTTAATATTAAATTAAATATTTAAAATTTCTTCTTCTTCTTATTTTTTTTTTCTTAATTCAATTT